AATAATTGTATATGAGCGAAGTGAGCCAGGCACATTGTACAAACGAGAGAGCACAAACCCTGTCTAAAAGGGGCATCCACTGGTCAGCAACAGCCAATTCTTGCCAAGTGGGATTGTGGGCCCAGAATTTCCCAGTTGTTCTTAATTTTTGAAGAGAAGTCAGATAATCCTAAATTTTTTTACAGTTTTAGGAATGGAATGTGAGACCATTATAATCTAATGGCTGCTTCTTACACTTGAAGTCAGGTCACCCTTTCCCTGTTAGCTAGCCCTGGAATTCCCATAATTTTCCTCCCAAATTACCTTTTAAAGGGCTGTATTATTTTGTACTCGTCTCAACAGTAAATGAGAGTCCCCAGTTTCAGGTTCCTCTTTTAAGTAACAACTCACTCTCTGCAGCATATCTGGGGATCTTACTGGAAAGAAGGCCGATGGGGATACAAATGCTGTCACTCTTTTTTCAAGTATTCCTACTGCACTGGAGAAGCCGGCAAGGAGATTGCTGTAAGTAATTGTCTTCTAGTTCTTAAACTGTAAAGCAGCCAAAGCTCTTTAAGTCAAAATCTGTAGGAAACATATTGTCTCATGTTTCAAGTTTTAACTTTTTCTTCAATGATGGTAACTGTGATACTCAAGTCAAATTACATATATTTTCCCACAGAATTCAGAGGAATGTATTATAAATGATATAACCGGAGAGGAATCTGTGAAAAAACCTCAAACCCTCATGGAGGTAAGTCTATAATCATTTGTCCTGAATTAAGTCCTAGAACGCTGACTTTAAAATTTACGCCAGAGCTTTGTTTTTGCATTAATAACACTGTAGATTTCAATCCTTCCTGTCAGATGCATCAGGAAAAACTAAAAGAAGATAAGAAGAAGAAAAAGAAGAAGAAAAAGAAGCATCGAAAGAGCAGTTCAGATAGTGATGATGAAGAAAAGAAACACGAAAAATTGAAAAAGGTACTTTGTGAGCTCTAAATAGTCAAAGTGATGACAGGATTCTTTATTTGTAGCAACCTTAAGAAATTATCTAGTCCTATCCCCAAGCTCATTTTTTAAAATGAGGAAACAAGCCCTAAGCTTGGGTGATTTGTTTAGGTTACCTTGTATCAGGTCTAGAATGCAAATGGAGATTTTTGTGTGTCTCAGTATTGCCGCCTTCTTGGACTGTTTGATAAATATCACTAACGTACAGAAGAAATGTGTTTTGTAAAGCTGTTATTTTAGAGTTATTGACTGCCCAGAAAGAATTGCCTTTTAGCTCTATAATTTGTAAATTTCAGCAAGTCCTTGGGAAAAGTCAGAATTGTAGTTTCCACCAGAAGCATCAGTTGTGGACTTCTGTTAGTAAAATGAATCTCATTGAATCTTTGTTATTAAGTAAAATTTTTTTAACATTGAAAATGTGGTAGAATGTTTTATGCTACATGAAAATATTGTATCGGCCAAATAGTGATTATAGCTTGTCAGTAGAAGGGCTGATGCTCAAGCTCTTTCAAACGATCTAGGTTTTTGATAGTGATTTATATTCAGTGGGGTCTTTTGGTATTCTACTTTAGAACAGAAGAGATCTGATGTAAAGCTGTGGTACTCATGTTTTCCCTCTCACTGTAGGCACTGAATGCAGAGGAGGCCCGCCTTCTTCATGTCAAGGAGATCATGCAGATTGATGAGAGGAAGCGGCCTTACAATAGCATATATGAAACTCGGGAACCCACTGAAGAGGAAATGGAGGCCTATAGAATGAAACGTCAGAGACCAGATGACCCCATGGCTTCCTTCCTTGGGCAGTAGTAACTAGTTACAGACAGTCACCCAAGGTAGACACAGCTGATACATTCTTTTCAGCTTCTCGCTGATGATTGTAGGTGGAAAAACCCACGACTACTCTTCTTGCTGCCTCCTTTAATAAAGACTCCGGAAGTCTCATAGCAAATTCATTTCTTTACTCACTGAAGAAACAAAGAAGAAAAAGAGGAAGTACATTAAGTGTATATTAAGATTTTATTTCCAGTTTTATATTAGGTGATGTGGAAAGAGGCCTTGGCTCTCTCCCTAGCAAGAACATCTCCTCAACATTTATAAAGTCTCAAACTTTATTTCCTCAATTCTTATGGCCCTTTATCTAGTGTTAGCACACATTTTAAAGGCATATGAGTTACTCTTTCTCAAAATCACATTTCATTTTTTCAAATTACTAGTAACTATAATTGTAGTTATTTGAGTATCATTTGTTTTTGTGTTCTAAGGTTTCCCTGGTCTAAAGCTAAAAAAAATTACTCTATGTTGGGCGTTGAGTTACTGAAAGGAAATTTGTAGAACATATGAATGACTTTATCCCCCATGTCAATCTGTATAGTAATAATTCTGTTTTCTACTTGGTTATAAAATTTTTATTTTTTTTAAAGATTTTATTTATTTGAGAGAGAGAGAGAATGAGAGATAGAAAGCACGAAAGGGAAGAGGGTCAGAGGGAGAAGCAGACTCCCCGCCGAGCAGGGAGCCCGATGTGGGACTCGATCCCAGGACTCCAGGATCACAACCCGAGCCGAAGGCAGTCGCCCAACCAACTGAGCCACCCAGGCGCCCTAAAATTTTTATTTTTAAAACATTTCCTTGTACTTTACACCCAGAACTAAATGGATTAGCCTTTGAATGGAAAAATAACTTTTGTCCTCTTTGAGTCACTGTTGATTGATCAGTTCTAGGTCTTTTACCATTCTGGACATGAGCCTTTAGACACAGAAACCCTTTCCTCTATCATAGAGAATATGGTTTGTGATACTATTTGTTGTTTTAATTGTGATTGCCTTTATGTAATAATCATGAATATTAAATTTTAAAAGATTGTAGAATATCCATTGTACCTAATCTTTATAGCAAGCAGGTGTCTTTTTGTAAAAATTGCAGAAAGCAAAACCTGAAGTTGAAGGTTTCTTCAAAGAATTATAAGGATAGCTTATAGGGCTATTAATAACCGACACTGCCATGATCCTCAGGCCTCTCCTAAGAATATTGTGAAGATAATACAGTGAGAGTGGGATCAATGAAAACAGCCTGTTTCAAACACCTGACATAAGTACATTGGCTTTTAACAGCTCACTGGCTTCTAAGCTACCAAAACCCACTAGGATACTGCATTACGTACATTGGCTTTTAACAACTCACTGGCTTCTAAGCTACCAAAACCCACTAGGATACCGCATTACCATCCAAGAAATTGTGCTGCTGAGAGAGTAACAAATTGTCAGGTACTATGGATATAGTATCAAGATTCAGACTAGTACAAAATTAAAACAGCAGTGCAAACAGAGCTCATTCTTACCTATTTCAAGAAAGTCGACTTACGTTTTCATATTCCTACCTTAACATGGAGTGGTTCAACATAAAGTCTGACATTGATGTCTATTTTGTATTTTATTTATCTTTTGTTTAAATAAAGATATATAAGAAAACAGTGGTTTGTAGTAGTATTTCAAATATTTGGCAGAAAAATACTTTATGGGACTGGGAGGGGTTTTGAATTAGAAGATTTCAGGATCTTTAACAAAAAAATGTGTCAACTTTTCTGGTCTCTGTTCCCTCTTCTGTGAAACCTAATTTACTGATTTTAGGAAGAACTCTGTAATGTCTTATTTCTGCTTCATTTTGGAAAACAAAGATAACACCTGGAACACTGTTCATTATGTGAACTTTGATTTTTTTTTAAAGATTTTTTTATTTAAGAGAGAGAACGAGATAGAGAGCATGAGAGGGGAGAGGGTCAGAGGGAGAAGCAGACTCCCCACTGAGCAGGGAGCCTGATGCGGAACTCGATCCTGGACTCCAGGATCATGACCTGAGCCGAAGGCAGTCGCTTAACCAACTGAGCCACCCAGGGTGCCTGTGAACTTTGATTTTATTATCTCAATAATAGCTGCCTTTTGAGTGCTGAAACCATGTACTGTAATTTTTGTATGTTATCTCTGCAAAAGAACTTTATAAGGTAATGGATAATACCCCTATTTTACAATAAGCACATGGGCTTAACAAGTCCATGTAGCTTGCTCAAGTCCTGAGAGTTAAAAGTGTTAGGGCCAGGACATAAAGCCAAGTATCTTTGACTCTTAAAGCCTACTCCTTTCTCCAGTATTGAAGACCCTGCTTTCTGGACTAGGAAGACTGGTCTTTTGCAATTTCTTCTTTTGACAGAAACCTTAAGCAGGCCTGTCTACCAGGTTCACCCTCAACACCTGAAAATGATGCATCTGTACCGTTCTTTGATTCTACTCCTTTCCCCAACCTTGTGGGATGCTTCTAACAAGACTGACTATACAAAAATGAATAAATCGTTCTTTCATTAAGTTTGTAACAATTCTGTTAGTAAATACCCCCCACACAGGAAGGAGGTCTATGCTTGAGTTTCTAGTTTCTACTTTGGGATTTTTCCTCTAAAATCTCTCCAATATGGGTTTGTAACTTTAAGATCATGTTAAAACGAATTTTAAATAAAATTGAAACTTCTCTAAAATGAGTGATTCTGAGGAAATTCGTCCACACGCTCTAATTTATGGAAAGAAATAATCTGCATAGATAATCTGGAAAAAGAGGCCATGAAGACGCAAGCTCTAGAAGCTCGTCTCCACTGTGAGTATCTTCATGGAGTTTACAGCCTGTCGCATTTGCCTCAATGTTTAACTTGGGAATACAATGAGCTTCCTTCTCTTTACTCCTTGATCACACATAGAAAATGCTAATTATTAGGGTGTTACAAAATTTGTTTCGGTGCTCTGAAGAACTATGTGGACTTTACCATACTTTCCATTCCTTGGATTCTACGATTCATCCTTTCCGGCAGACACAAAAGAAACCTCCCCGCTCCACGTACTCAATTAAAAAAAAAAATTTTTTTTTTTTTTGGAGAGGGCCAACGCGCATGCTCCTTACTCGAGCCTGCAGAGGCCTCAGCTGGTGGCTAATGCGCCTGCGTGCGGGGAGAGCCCGTCTGCGGGCGGGAAGCCACACGGAGAACCCGGATGGAACCTCGGCGCGGCTGGGGTGGAGGTCGCGGCGGAAGCTTCTGTGTCCCTGCGCCCCGCAGGTTCCTGCTCGGGGACCGGACCTGAGGAGCCGCCGCCCTGACTTGTTCCGGCGCCTAGTGGCTGGACTCCAGCCCGAGCGGAGAGCGACCTGGAGCCGGAGACGGGCGACTGAAAGAAGCCCGAGCATCCCTTGGGCCTGCGCCCAGGCTCGGAGACGGGCGGGTGGAGACCGAGCGGAGCCCTTCCTCGCCGCCGGCGCCCGTAGCTCGCCCGAGCTGCTTCCCGAACGCGCCGTCTTTAATTATACACCAACAGGTCCTACCAGTTACGAGCTGCATGTTCTTTACATGCATGCTTCATAATTAAAGCTCCCAACAGCCCTCTAAGGTAGGTACTATTGTCATCCCCACTTGAGGAATCGAGGCTTGGAAGGGACCCAGCCTCCAGGTGACAAAGCCAGGAGCCCAGGCGTGTGCCCCTGGAGCGTTTGCTCAGCCACTATTTCCGTCCCTTTTCTCCTGGCTGTTGCCTTTAATTGCAAAGCGTACTAAGGAAATCCCGTCCCCCAGACGCCCGCACCTCCCTTGGACTGGAAGAGGCAGTGGCGAGATAGAAGTTGAATTGTGTTTGGTTTGGAATTTTAGGTTTACAACTGCACTTGGGTGTTGTCACTGCTGAAATACATATTTTAGCATTTCCCAAAGATTTCTGTTATGTGAATGTTCACTTTTAACTGGCTTTTCATCAGTGATACTTTTTCCTATCTACCCCTATACCTCATAAACTTGCAAAAACATTTTACTTTGTTTTATCACTCTGCATCTTAAGATAGCTCTCAAAGGAATCATTCTAAAAACGAATTCTGTTTACCTTAATAAGGTCATGCCTTTTGTTTATTTTACTGTTTACTATGGAAGATTCCCCCACATAATATAAAAATAGTGAGAATGGTGTAATGTAGCATACCCATCATTCAGCTTCATTAACAACTCAAGGCCCATCTTAGGTCTTCTGTCTCTTACCCCACTGTGTGCGTGCGTGTGTATGCTGAAGTACAGCATGTCAGAGGAAATCCCAGATGTCTTATCATTTCACTTGTAAACAACTAAGTCTGTATCTCTAATAAATGAGTACTTTTTCCCACACAAACATACCATTATCACATCTGTTTAACAATAATTTCCTTCTTTTTCTTTGTTTTCCTCCCCATTTTATAAGCAGGCTCCACACCCAGCATGGAGCCCAACGTGGGGCTCAAGCTCATAGCCCTGAGATCAAGAGCTGAGCTGAGATCAAGAGTCGGATGCTTAACTGACTGAGCCACCCAGGTGCCCCAGTGAACAGTAATTTTCTAGTATGATGATGCTTTTTTAATGTTTACATATCTTAGGATATTGTGATTACTAAATACCACAGAAGAGCAAGCGAAAATTGTGAGGTTCTAAAACACAAGAAAGCCTCTTGGGCGGTAAATGCCTCTTTGAGAATCTTGAAAATTCTTGCTACCTATTCTCCCATTTTGAGGGGGATGAGGAGGACTACTGCAAATGAATTTTTCCAAAAAACGTTTTGTTCAAAACAGGCAAATTTTCAATCAAAACATACTTGAGTAGCATAGTCAAGGTGGATTGGAACGGACTCTTAACTGATCCTGTAATAATTTCTAATGAGACTGAAGCAAAGCTTTTTCATTCACTTCCCCTGCTCCCCAAAACATACCTGGTAAATATACATAAGAGAATATAGAAAGATAAGCATTTTTTATGCCAGCGTCATAATTTTACTATCAATTAGGAGAGGTTCCAAACACATTTGGCCCTATTGTCATCACTTGACTAAAGAAAGCTTAAGATCAACTTTTAAATTTCAAATCATCTTTATTGATGGGTAGATACCTTCCAGTTTTTAACTGACTCGTAACAAACAGGCATATGGCTTGTCAACTTATTAGCTTACATAGAAGTTCATTTTATAGCTAATTGTGGCAGAGCCACTAGAAAGTTAGTGTTTTAAGTTAATATTCTTGCCTTACTTATTGTGAGATTTTTTTTTTATGGCCAAAGTGGGCATTTGGATTTAAATGTGTCCCTGTTATTTCCGCCACATTCTGTAGTATAGAACTTTAGAAACTTAGGGGATCCCTTGTTTATCTGGGAGATAGAACTGTTTTTGAAGGTATATTTGAGCCTACCTGTGGGTTATACCTTTGCTCATTGCTAAGGAGGAAGAAGAAGAAAAGGCATGACTTTCTAGGTCCCTCAACTTTCTTAGGAGGTTGTAATCAACTCAGAAACTTAAATGCCTATTAAAGCATTTAGACTATTTATTTACCAACCTAGCATATCAGCAACCTAGTGGTTGGCCTGAAGGATATGTTTTCATTCCTCTAAATCTGATACACACTAGGACATGTATTAGAATCACCTGGACAAGATTTAGAGTCTTTTTTTTTTTTTTTTTTTTAAGTAATCTCAGTGCCCAGCATGGGGCTCAAACTCACCACCCCAAGATCAGGAGTCCCATGCTCTACCAAATAAGCCAGCCAGATGCCCCAAGATTTAGAGTCTTTTGTTCCCCTTCTGGAGAAGACGATTTATTAGTTCTAAGGGAGGGAGATGTATAATTTCAAAGGGGTTCCTAATGATTGTGATGAGCATCTCTTATTAAAGATTACTGTTCCGGTTACCATTCATAAGAATTATCCAAAATGCCTATGTAGAATATAGATTCTGAGCCCCTAGTATAGAGCTAGGGAATCAGAATCTCTGGGAGTTGGGACCATGAATCTACATTTTAGCAAAAGACTTCACTGATTCCTCCATTTGCTAACCTAGGAACCATTACCTTCTAATCCCTGTCCTCAGATTAAAACAAATCTTAATTTGGGGAATACTGCTTATTTTCATTCCATTGTTTCAGCTTCTTGACTGCTTTTACTGAGGGGTAGTTATATGAAAAAGCATCATGAAATTTCTACTGTAACTAAGGGTGTTCTTCTATGAGAGAGATTTTTCTCAAGTCTCGGTAACAAAAATAGTTGTATTTCTCCTGAACAACTTGTTTTGCTTTTCTGTATGGACAATACGAATCATGGACTGGTAGTGTGTTACACTTTAGCTGCAAGGAAGCTCTGAGCCAAATTTGTATCCTACTTCTGTGTCAAAGGCGACTTAATCAGACCCATTTGAAATTCTCTGCTTACATTGGAGTCAGAGCCAGTCAAGGATCAAAGAGTATTACAGACCTATTTAATCCTTAACTATGAAAAAGAACTAGTCACTATGTCAAAATATGTCCTTAGAGTATTTAATGAATTATGCCCTTCTCTATTCACTTGCTCATAACTGCCTGTGTGTGTACAGCCCTGTCGGAGAATGAAAGGAGGGGGAGGGGGTGGTAGTGAGAGGCCCTTTTAGGGGATACAAAATGTACCAGATTTGTTTGGAACATACATCATTGAAAACAAATGAAGCCATAACTTCAGTTCACCAATAGAGGATTTATGTGTATTCACAACCACATAAGTCCAAATCTCCCATATGTAGCTTACTGGTAAGTTGTTTATCCCCGAGCATTAGCTGTGAGTTGATAGCTTTAAGTTGGACTGTTATGCTGTCATGGTTTACTTTGAACTGACATGTTACAGGATATTTCTTTACATGTACAAATGGCATGTGATGTGGCTTTGTTTTAATTCGGTTAGCCAGTGATTTTTAATATGTGGGTTATATTTTACTCCCAAAGCAAAATTCTGCAGCATCTCTGGAATACTACCTGAGAATTTTGGGGTGCCATGTCGAAGAAACGCAAATGGGATGATGACTATGTTCGTTACTGGTTCACCTGTACAACAGAGGTTGATGGAACTCAGCGCCCACAGTGTGTATTGTGTAACTCGATATTTTCAAATGCTGACCTCAGACCATCAAAATTGTCTGACCATTTTAACAGACAGCATGGTGGTGTAGGTGGGCATGATCTCAGTAGCCTGAAGCATATGCCAGCACCATCTGATCAGAGTGAAACCTTGAAAACATTTGGAGTTGCATCTCACGAGGATGCCTTATTACAAGCATCTTATCAGTTTGCATATTTATGTGCCAAGGAGAAGAATCCTCATACAATAGCTGAAAAATTAGTAAAACCTTGTGCATTGGAAATAGCACAAATAGTTTTGGGACCAGATGCACAAAAGAAGCTTCAGCAGGTACCCTTATCAGATGATGTGATCCATTCTAGAATTGATGAAATGAGCCAGGATATCTTACAGCAAGTTCTAGAGGACATCAAAGCCAGTCCTCTGAAAGTGGGTATTCAGCTTGCTGAGACAACGGACATGGGTGACTGCAGTCAGCTAATGGCATTTGTACGATACATAAAAGAAAGAGAGATCATAGAAGAATTTCTATTCTGTGAACCACTGCAGTTAACAATGAAAGGAAAAGATGTGTTCAATCTCTTCAGAGACTTCTTTTTGAAGCATAAGATAGCGCTTGATGTATGTGGCTCTGTTTGTACTGACGGTGCCTCTTCTATGCTAGCAGAAAATTCAGAATTTGTTGCCTGTGTGAAAAAAGAGGCACCTCACATCGTGATCACACATTGTTTGTTGAATCCTCATGACCTTGTCACAAAGACCTTGCCTACAAAACTGAGAGATGCTCTGTTTACTGTGGTGAGGGTAATAAATTTCATCAAAGGACGCGCTCCAAATCATCGCCTCTTTCAGGCTTTTTTTGAAGAAATTGGAGTCGAGTATAGTGTCCTCCTTTTCCATACTGAAATGAGGTGGCTTTCCCGAGGTCAAATACTTACCCATATTTTTGAAATGTATGAAGAAATAAATCAGTTTCTTCACCACCAAAGCAGTAACTTAGTTGATGGCTTTGAAAATAAAGAGTTTAAAGTTCACTTAGCATACCTTGCAGATTTATTCAAACACCTGAATGAACTTAGTGCATCTATGCAAAGGACTGGGATGAACACAGTGTCAGCTAGAGAAAAGTTATCTGCTTTTGTTAGGAAGTTTCCATTTTGGCTAAAGCGAATTGAGAAAAGAAATTTTACCAACTTTCCTCTTCTTGAAGAAATCATTGTTTCAGATAATGAAGCACCAAGCATTGCAGCTGAAATAACACTGCACCTGCAACAGCTGAGCAACTTCTTCCATGGATATTTTTCTGTTGGAGATCTTGCTGAGGCAAGTAAATGGATACTGGATCCATTTCTTTTTAATCTGGATTTTGTCGATGATGGTTATTTGATGAAAACTGATCTTGCTGAATTACGAGCTAGTGGCCAAATCCTAATGGAATTTGAGACAATGAAGCTTGAGGATTTCTGGTGTGCTCAATTCACAGTGTTTCCAAGCCTGGCAAAGACAGCTCTAGAAATCCTTATACCATTTGCAACTACATACCTTTGTGAGTTGGGATTTTCATCACTTTTACATTTTAAAACAAAGTCCAGAAGCTGCTTTAATATGAGTGATGATATTCGTGTGGCTATTTCAAAAAAAGTTCCTCGTTTCTCAGACATCATTGAACAAAAGCTACAGCTACAGCAGAAGTCACTGTGAGCTGATACATTTTTAATATATTCTTAATTTTATTGTAAAATTAAGCTATAATTGTGTCTCTTTTATATTTATGGCATACCAAATCCCAAGAAAAAGTTTAGCATGTGTAACTTTTAATTTTCACAGTTTTGAGAATAAGAACACAGGCAGCAGAAAAGATTAAATAACACCTAGTGGATACATAGAATTCTTCTAAGTATCTGTTGAAGCTGTTGATGTGATACATAAAAAGACACACAAGCACTAGAATATCCACCTAAGTGGTACAATAGGCTAGGAATGGATCCCAGAGAAGAGAGAAGGTCTCCCAGAACATGCGTCTTCATGTTAAAAGTAAAAATTGAAGGACAAAATGACAGACTGAGTCCCCGCGTCTCTGTGAGTGTTGTCAATGGTTAGGCTAATGCAATCAGAAAAGGATTATGAAATGTTATAGTTGGAAAAGGGATGGTTCTAGTTTATATAAGATTTACTTTTAAATGTATTCTTTGGAGTTAGTCTTACAATGTCCATTCCTCTAGCTCCCATGCTCTAAATACCATGACATTAATAAATGTCCTAATATCCTATTAGTCACTCTTTGTCTTTTTTTTTAATTACAGCAGGACTCCAAGTCATTGAGGCTGCTAAAAAGAGGATCCGAGAGCCTCACCATAGAGATTCTGATTTAGCAGATCTGGCATAAGCTCAGGGGCCTTCATTCTTTTTTTTTTTTTTAAGATTTTATGTATTTATTTGACAGACAGCGAGAGAGGGAACACAAGCAAGGGGAGTGTGAGAGGGAGAAGCAGGCTTCCTGCTGAGCAGGGAGCCCGAGGTGGGGATCATGACCCCAAGACCCGGGGATCATGACCTGAGCCAAAGGCAGACGCTTAACGACTGAGCCACCCAGGCACCCTAAGGGCCTTCATTCTTAACCAGCTTCCAGATGGTTCTGATGGATTCTTTGGGCCCCCGGTCTCATCTTATTTTCCCTTTACCCCAATTTTCCCACTTATTTTACATCTTAAGCTATGTGTATTTACCTAACATAGTTCAAAACTTTTGAATGGACCAGAATATAAGTAAGAAATAAATTGACATGAAGTCACTGTGGTAAATCAGGGCCGTCAAAAAATTTCCTGTGGGAATTTAAATTATGTTTTCTGGATAATAATTTGGTAAAATAGTTTTAAATTTTAATAAATTTACATTTTTATTTCAAAACCTAAATATCTTATCAAAGTGGTATGCTAAAAAATGAGTCCTATAATAAAAAGCCACAGTCCCTTTCCTGCCCAATTACTTTTTTTTTTAAAGATTTTATTTATTTGAGAGAGCGAGAATGAGAGACGGAGAGCATGAGAGGGGGGAGGGTCAGAGGGAGAAGCAGACTCCCCGCTGAGCAGCAGGGAGCCTGATGCGGGACTCGATCCCAGGACTCCAGGATCATGACCTGAGCCGAAGGCAGTCGCTTAACCAACTGAGACACCCAGGCGCCCTCCTGCCCAATTACTTAACCATTTCTGCTTTAACATTTTGTGGTTCCACCCTTATCTCTAAGTAATGTGTTTATATCAAACACATATGCCAGTTTTGAGTTTTGTTTTGTTTTTTTAATTAAACTCTACCCTCAACATGGGGCTCGAACTCACAACCCTGAGACCAAAAGTCGTGTGCTCCACCAAGCCAGCCGGACTCCCCCATATAGGCCAGTTTTGATTTATCAGCTTTAGAAGTTATATATTGACTCCTCTAGATAATAAGTAATTACTGAATTTACAAAACATTCATCTCCTTTCCTACTATTCCCAATTTTTTATTATGGTAGTATTAATTTTAGTTCCTTTGTTGATTATTCGTAGCCCTTTGATTGGGGATTTTTCCCTCTAGGAATTTACGTCCTGGGGAGAATCAGGGATATCCACAGTTTGATTTATAAACGGGTAATTACAGCATTTTTCTAATAGTGAAAAATTGGAGAAAAAAGACAAGGGGAATGGAATCTAACAGGTGCCACCCGAGTACTGCAAGTTGAAGTTTGTATTTTCTACACAAAACTCAACTTGATCACCATCCATCAAAATACTCTTTTTTTTTTTTAAAGATGTATTTATTTATTTGAGAGAGAGAGTACATGAGAGGGGGGAGGGTCAGAGGGAGAAGCAGGCTCCCTTACCGAGCAGGGAGCCCGATGCGGGACTCGATCCCGGGACTCCACGATCATGACCTGAGCCGAAGGCAGTCGCCCAACCAACTGAGCCACCCAGGCGCCCCCATCAAAATACTCTTATCAATAAACATAAAAACATGACTTTCATCTAAAAATGTAGTTACAAAATATAAGTTCCTCCCCCCAAGAGCAGTGGGAAGAATTTCCACAGCTAATACGGGAATAAATCTGGAAGAGTATATAAAGTTTCATATGTATGTGTATCCAGAGACAGGAAGGAAGAAGGATGGAAGCACTGTATGCATGTCTGAAGCATGGAAATTAACAACACAGAAAAGCAGGGCTAGGTGCAATGCCAGAAGGGAAGGACCTTTGACGGCCAGTCTTTCATTAAGTCCACTAGAATTCTCTCTTAACTAAATTCATTCATTTCTGCTATGAAACAAAAACCCAAAGGATATTTTAAAGGGAATAGCTGAGTTTTGAATTCATTTTCAAATTCTACAACAGTTTATTTTCCCTGATCAAATTAAAGAGACTGCGGTGTCTGCTAAAATAAAGAAACTTAGATTTTATTTTTTAGTTTAAAAAAATTTCCCACAGGGCGCCTGGGTGGCTCAGTTGGTTAAGCGACTGCCTTCGGCTCAGGTCATGATCCTGGAGTCCCTGGATTGAGTCCCGCATCGGGCTCCCTGCTCAGCAGGGAGTCTGCTTCTCCCTCTGACCCTCCCCCCATCTCATGTGCTTTCTCTCTCATTCTCTCTGTCTCTCAAATAAATAAAATCTTTTAAAAAAATAAATAAATAAATAATAAATAAATAAATAAATAAATAAATTTCCCACAATGGTACACATACTGGCACTTACAAGTCACGTGTTGGTTTCTTCTTCTCCCCAGAAAGAGATAATTGTCTTATATTTTTACTATATAATTAAGGTCATTGGTCAATTGCAAAAAAGGATCGGGATAAAGATATAATCTGTATGACCAGCAGATGTCACTCTTTGTGCATGATTGGTTGAAAGTAAATTTGACCACAGATTTTGCCAAATACCTGATTTTAAACATCTCTAGAAAAAGGATTTGTAGTTCAAATTAAAAGTACCCCACCGGAGGAGCACCTAGGTGGCTCAGTCAGTTGAGCGGCAGGCTCTTGATTTTGGCTTAGGTCATGATCTTGGGGTCCTGGGATCCAGCCCCACATGGGCTCTGCACTCAGCAGGGAATCTGAGAATTCTCCCGCTCCCTCTGCCCCTCTCCCTGCTTGTGCGCGCGTGCTCTCTCTCTCTCTCTCAAATAAATAAATCTTAAAAAA